GAGATTTTTCTTCTTTGGAATTTTCTTTTACTGAACTTAGTGTGCGGGTTGAAGAGATTACATCCCTAAATTTGGGGTCCTTAATTACTCCTATACTGGGTTTTAACCGAGGAAGAACCTACAATATACTCCCTCCCACACCCATATAAAATCTTTTGGCATGAACTATTTGGGAACCTGGTGAGGATTTAAAGTGGAGACCATGTTTCTCTCAACTCTTATTTTTCACCCAAAGGCCTTGGTCATTATAATTATCCATGCTTTAATATCAAATCAGTATTTGTTTTTTAATGTGTACAGTTGATATGGGCATTTCGAGTAAAATAATGGTAATGGTAATGGTTGTAGTTGGGAGGGCCATTTTGGGATGTGGCACTAGGGAGGAGGGACTCGAGAACGGCTAGCAAGGATGATGCAAACACACAGCTAGCATCCCCTTTTGATGATCTCCCAGTTCTAATCTCCAACTTCCAATCACACGGGCTAAGCGTGCGAGACCTCGTCGCATTACTAGGCGCCCACACCATCGGATTCTCGAGGTGCTTGTTCTTTAGAGATCGCATCTTCAACGAATCCAACATCCATCCACTCTATGCCGCATTCCGACAGAGATCATGCCCACAATCCGGAGGGGACGACAGCCTTGCGGCCCTCGACACCCTATCATCCAATCGATTTGATAACAGCTTCTTTGGTGAATTAGTAAATAACAGGGGTCTACTTCACTCAGACCAAGAGCTCTTCAATGGTAGTCGAGGTCCAACCGATTCGTTGGTGTGGCAATATAGCAGGGATTGGAGAGCGTTCTTTTCGGATTTTTCAGACTCGATGATGAGGTTGGGGAATTTGGGGGTTCTCACTGGCTCCCAAGGCGAGGTTCGTGTGAACTGTCGGAAACCAAACTGAGGGATCAAGAACGTTGTGAAGCTTAAAGTGTTGTTCAGTAACCCATTTGATCTTTGCACTGCTATGGCTTAGAGAAATTGCGGGTGTGTGAATGTGTTTGCATTTTAGAGATACATTGTTTGTGTGCGTGTTTTATTGCTGCCTATTATGTGGTGTCATGTATTTACAAGTGTTTTTGGATCATTCTTGTTTAGGATGATTTGCAGCTAACAGGAAATTGAAACAAGTCATGTTCAAGATTTCTTTGCTCGTTCTTCTTTCTTTGGAGCAACCAAATCGCTACATTTTGTCCATTAGAAATGTCAATGTGGTTTTAGCTCGACTTGGCCAGGTACTTGGCCATGGCCCAAGCCGAATAACTTTTGGCCGAGCCGAGTCCATTATGAGTGGTGCACAACTCAAAAACATGCTAAAAATTGAAAGTATAAAAAATAGTTAAAAATCATTAAAATTCAGAAAAATATAAAATAAGTAATAGAATTCATTAGAAGTCCACATATGTCCAAAAAAGTACATATAAGACCGATTATTCTACATTTTGTTTTATATCTTCAAATATTCAAAAATATATATACAAATGAAAAAATAAAAATTGGAGCTTGTCGAAGCAAAACTTCCCAAATGATCATAAAAACAATATAAATTATCCAAAAATGTATTTCTTAAGTCATTGAAGTTAAGATTTTTTTTAACAAAAATTCGCATTTTTAATCATTTTAAGAAAGGCCTGAGGTGGCATCTAGAACTCACCTCGGCCATAGGCCAAGGCCAAGTTACTAGATCGAGTTCTGAAACACTAATAAGTATTATGCTCTAAAAATTGCCAAAAAAGAAGAATTCATAAATCCTTCTTAGCTTTATTATCAAAATAGTGCCCTGACCACCTTCATAAGTCACAATTCATATGTCACAAGGACAATATCAAACAACAGCTGTGCACTTGCATATCCATGCAGATTAATCAAATTGAATACTCCAATAACTATGTTTATATTTGAGTCTCTTAGAGAACCCACCGAAATTTGTAACACAAACATTAATAAAAACACCATTTGCAATTCTACTAGAGCAATTCGCACTTGACAGTATTACAGTACAACATTCACAAATCCAGGGCAAAACATGAGCCCTTTGGCTCTTTGTTTTTGCACCTGACAGTAATATAGCACAACATTCACAAACCCAGGGCAACACATGTGCCCATTAGCTCTTTATTTTTCCATTCATCATAAATAGTTTGTTTGGGCAAATAACTTATCATAAATATCCCATTTATCAATTGACCTTCCTGCAATTGGTCCTAACCTCACCCTGAGAACCTGTGAGAACCTTAATGTTCCCCATCTTAATCATAGATTGCGCAAAATCTGCAAAGAAAGTTTTAGTGTCAGCAGCATAGGTTTTGCTTAGAGAATCTGCAGAACCTCCATTGAGGAGTGCTTGGTCAGAGTGGAGAAGCCCCTTCAAGCACTGTAAATTCTTATAATACGAGTTATCGAATATGTCTGGTGTCACGAGGTCGAGTTGTTGAAGAGTGTTGTTGTTCCCGACTCGTGGGCACTTCCGTTGCAGGGCCCTTGCAAAAGACGGGTTTATGTTGGTGTCATTATAGATTCGGCCTCGGAAAGTGACGCATCGAGCTAGACCAATTGTATGAGCCCCTGTGATAGGAAGAGCACTATGGTTGTTGAAAAACTTTCATAGCGGGTTTTGTTAGCTTATTCCATCTCGTTGAGTAATTCTTTAATATAGATATTTTAGATACTTGATACCCTTATTGGTAACTTTTTTTTGCATAGGCGTATAGTAGGTAATAAAGAATAAAATACAAATTTTGAGTTAAAAAACCAAAAAAAAAAGAAAAAAGAAAAAGAGAAAGAGGCTACATCAGCCTTTTTGGGCTTTTTTAAGACTAACTTCAAGGACTTTAACCCTTGACCTCCCTGAACACAAACTAATGTCTAGAACAAAATTTTAGCCTAGGGTACAATGCTAAGTTAATTTGTAAGGGTTTTTTGGGACAAAATTCAAAGTTCTAATGCTTGATCTTCTTCGCCTGAATCGACAAAAAAGCCACTAAGCCGCAATTAAATGCCAAATTTGTAAAAATCTTGAAAGCTTTAGCAAATGCAATATTTGAATGGCAAGAAGAGAAGGAAGTTCTCAGTCACCATGTCGTTGTTTTCATTTCCATTGATAATTTTTTAAAAAAATCCTAAATTATTTTAAAAAAAATGAACAGGGGCATGTCTTCCCCACTGAAATGCCTAAAAATTTTAAGAAAAGAGCTTGGGCTTAATTGATTAGCGCTTGATGATTTACAACGCTACGTCGTAGGCTCAATTTCTACCAACCGTAAGGGACCTTTCTTCACTTACTCATCGAGAAAAAAAAAAAGAAAGAGAAAGAATTAGCACCTGATAAAACCACCAAATCTTTTAGATTAAGCCCTTGTTTAGCGAAATTTGAAATAAGTTGACCGAGATTGAAGGACCCTGGTGCGATATCACTGTTGGCCAACCTCAGACTTGCAGTTTTTGAGTCACGCCTGCCTAGAGGCACTGTCCATGTAGGCCCACCTAACTTAATCATTAAAAAACACACATTTATTCTGTTAGCCTCATTTATTGCTTAGGAATAGAACATTATATATGGTCTACAACAGTTCATTATGGTTTTGGTTTCCCACTTTTGCATAAATGTTGGTCCTGAGGAACCAAACTGTCAAATTCGGTACTGCGGTTTAGGTACTAACTTTGGTTTTTATGAGTAGAACTTTAAAAAATCTCCCGATTTAGTCAAATTTTGGGAGAAAAAATTAATTTGAACTCTTGAACCATCCTAGATCTGATGGTCCATCTAATGTCAGTGGTGGATGGGGAATTGATTTGGAGCATGTTTTGTGCTATAAATCTTTTTTTAATTTAGAGCATTGTGCTGGGACTCGCCTGGAGGCGAGTTGTTACTTGGCCAATCAGAGTCCAGCACATGAACTTTTGGCCCTAAAATATTAAAAGAACATGAGAAATTTTAAAAGTAAAAACCTTGAAAAGTCAAAGCAACCTTAAAAATGTAGAGAAAAAAAGATTGAAAAAAATCAATTTACAATTTGGAATATCTAAAAAAAAAATTAAAAAAGAGAAAAATACAAAAATAGTGATTATGGAAAAAGATACTCATCAATCTTTGTCAAATACATTCAAATCATATTTAAAAAGATTATAAATCAATCCACTATATTTTATTTTTTAGACTTTTTTAGAAATTTTGTTACCAAGTTGTACAACCAACTTGAAAATTTCTAAGGTATATTTCTGCATTTAATTCTTTTTAGAGTGCTTCTTTTTATTGTGTTTTCCTCTCTCTCTCCAAACAAGATGCGTGGAAGTTCTGATGTTGTCTGTTTCAGTAATTCCTAATCTTAAAATGATTTGTTTTAGGACCCCAAATTTTTTAGATGTATCATCTTCAACTTAGTGACCAACTTTATGAAAACATAATTTCAAATGCACTCTATAGGAGCCTAAAAAGGTAACATCCTAAAATTGAATACAGTCCACATTTTGGATAGCAAAATCCAAGCATTAAGGAATTCAAATTTTTTTTTTTTTTACTTTTAAAATGATCATTATTTGATAATTATCAATAGAATACAAACTTTTGAATCCAAAAATCCTCTTATGTAACTTCCAAGGATAGTTGACGTGTCCCGCATCTAATGGTTTTTAAATCTCACCCCACAAATCCCAATTTTATTCTTTATTTTATCTCATATATTTGTTTTTTAATATTTGCAATCTGATAGGGATCTATGGGGTGAATAATCCACCACAATGATCTAGGGTTTGAAACAATGGACCCAACTATAGTGACAAATATTTTAAATTTAAAATATGGAAAAATTATCAGTAGATTCTTCACCTAAAAATTTTTGTCGGCAACATGAGTTTCTATCTATAATCTTTCAAAAGTCAGTTTTCACAAGTAAATTTATTTAGACTCGAAGGATAAATAAGTTTACCAAAAGTAATAGCCATCTATCAATTATCACCACGGTGAATAGGGAGAAGTTTGAATTTTAATTTCTCCATGTCTATTTTTTTTTCTCTAGTTTTTCTAAAATTTGTCTACAAGTACTCTAAGGATTTATTACATCATAACCCTTGTCACATATCGTTCTCAATCTTTATTTATAAGCACATTAATAAATAAATTTATCACTCTAACTCCAGAAATTTCCTAGATTTTTCTCTCAAATTTGTACATAAACTAAGACTTATTTCTTAAAAGTTTTAAAATTTTGCCAAATGGAAACAATGATTTTAAAAAAGCCAATACTATAATTTAAAGAAAAAAGTTTACATAAGGTTGCAACCTTAAAATGTAGAATTATAGATGCACCTAAAAATCTATCGGAGAATGTTGTTTTAATGTAGAAAAATCTTCTAATAGATCATCTTGACATCGAGATGTATGAATATGAAAAAACAAAAAAAAAAGATTGTGAGTCCTAAAAATAGTGCATCTTGCAACACATTATTTAGACCGTCAATTTTCAAGATTTCCATATGTTTACATATCTACTTGATTTTAATCATTGTTGGCGTTCAAAATTTTATAATTAGATATGAAAATAGATTTTTAAATAATCCTAAGAATTTTTAACATCAAAATTACATGTTATGATAAAATGTGGAGGTGTGCCTTAATTGAATTGTTTAAATTGCAACCTTATAGAAACCACACCCGAATTTCAAATATTAAAATCTTGAAAAAATAGATGTCAGGAATTGGAAATTCTTTTTGAGAATAGCTAAAAGATTGATTGTTTTATCATGGCATAAATTCGTCAATAAAAAAAAAACTCAAAAAATAAATTCTGATGTACGAAAATAAGATATGGTATGATTCTCATGTCATGTTTTCCTAAAGCGTTAGGAATATTGGAGCGGAAAAGTAGTAATGGCAAGAAATTTAAAAATCATGCTCCCCTATATTGTCATGTAATAATATGGATATAGATTGGCTTTAGCTAATTTCAAAACAAAAATTACTCGTATTTTAAAGTTTTAAATTATTTGGATTCATAAAAAAAGAAATAAAATTTAAATACGAAATAAGGTCGTGACCGTCATATTAGCCTAGATTCAATCTGAACCGTTGGGCTCATATGAACACATATGTTCATATGAGCTTGTGGGCTAATCTCAGTATTTTCTTATATATATATATATATATATATATATATAAGATATTTTAACAATAATTGAATACCAAATTTCTTATTTTTTTCATAACTTAGATAAAATTAAAATTAGAACAAAAATATTCATCATTAAAATATAAAAAAATTAAGATAAACGTTTAACTTCTTGCAACACGAGACATAAGCTAGTTATTAGTTTATGAGATTGTATGCTATGATACCATTAATTTTTAATACAAGGAAGTCACATTCACTTTTATCCATTAAACGTGAAATTCATAGATGAAAGTGTGTTACAAAATTCGAAAAAATGTTACAAAATTGTGCCTATACAATGACACATCCTTGACCATCCGATTTCAAATTTAACGGTCCCTGATAACGGGGACCACTTTGTATCAAAAGTAAATTTTGCATCGTTGTTAATATTTTTCGAGATTTGTTGAAAACCTATGAATTAAAGAAAATATATTGTTATTTGACGAATCGGGTTCGATGCAAAACATATTCAAAACTGAGATCTTTTTGTTATATTTCCATCATATTATTTATTGGAAATATTTACTGTGTTTTGTTATTTTTACCAACCCAATTAATTGAGAAAAATTTAGACGATGATGATGTTGCTTTTGGCCGTGAAACGAGACAAACAGGGGAATTATGAGTTGTCATCGAGGTCAAGGGCACAAAAGCCGAGGGACATGACTAACGATTGCCTTCCCTTTGTCTTATTTTTACCCTATTTTTTTTTGACAGCATCAAACTAAATTTCTCTGACTAAAACATCTTAGCCATGCACCTATTAAGCATATCCGTAAAATTCTAATTTTTCAAAATAAGTTCTAATAACTATATTTGGAGTATTTTGTTAAACTAATAAAATGTTTGCAAATTTAGATAAGGGTGTGGTTTCTATAAGGTTGTAACTTTAAACAATCCAATTAAGGTACACCTCCAAATTTTATCGTAACATGTAATTTTGGTGTAAAAACTTTTTTTGGATTATCTGAAATCTATTTTTAAATCTAACTATAAAATTTTAAACTCCAAAAATAGCTAAAATCAAATAGATTAGTAAACATATGGAAATTTTGAAAATAGATGTTCTAGATAATATATTGCAAGGTGTACTAAGATTCAAAATCTTTTTTTTTTTCATATTCATACATCTCAATGTCGAGATCATCTATTAAAAACTTTTTCAATATTAAAACAATCATTTCCTATAGATTTTTGAGGTCCATATGTAATTCTACATTTTAAAGTCACAACCTTATATAAACTTTTTCAACCAATTACCTAGGTTGATTTTGACATCCTTGTACCGAAAAAAAACCGTCTTATTTATTTATTTATTTATTTTTTTAATTCTCCAATATGAAAAATATATTTTTCGGACTAAAAATCTCAAAAAATGATAATTTCAACCAATGTCTATTGAAATAGGGATCTCCCTCTCTTGCATTTATCTTACCGCAACTACAGAGTCACGTGCAGCAAGGGCGAGTATATCAGCACAAGAGACGACACCAGGGCAGATGCATTCCACCTGCTTTTTTATCTCATCAATAATGTCGAACCTGCGCAGTGAACCCGCATTTGGACGCGCGGTCTTCTCTCCAGTAAATGTTGAAGTGTCGTCAAGCAGTACGGACGCATCACAGCCCTGTTCATACAAATTACATTAAATTTATTTAAGGAGATTAAACTCCCATGGTCTTCTTATAAATTAAATGAAAGAATTGTGATATTGAATGGGTGGCCTAAATTCGACTTTGCTTTATTTATTTTATTGCTTTCGTACTCGTGCATCTTATATTGCACGTGTTAAGATGCTTCCTTAGTGGTCAGCTAGAAAGCGAACTCATTTGAATTTGAGAAATTAGAGGAACAGGAAGACCTTTGGGTATAAATTTTAGTGGTTTTTTTTTTTTGAGAAATTATGAAATTATTTTTTAAAAAATTATTAAAAATAAACCTTAAATTTTACAAAACCTCATACAAAACTATAGGGGACCAAGATCGAATCTAAATTGGATGTAGAACTCTTGGGAAGTTCGTTTACCAAATAAAAACAGAACTCTTGGAAAATTTTATGGAAATTGTTTTGTGGAAATATAATTTAAGGGTTCAAACTCCTAAAAAAACCATGGGGGTTCAAAAGTTGGCAATTAATGTTAGATTTTTGACCTTCTAGTTTTCATTTCACCTAAGTATCTTCTCAAAAAATATTTTAAAATGCTTAATTTGCTTACATTCAGAGTGGTGAATCTAGAAAAAGTAGGGAAAATTCACTACATTGACCCACCCTCATTATTTGGCTGGTGAGTTGAATTACTAAAATGCCTGAATTAGTTTAGAATTATCCACTTGGAGAGGAGCAATTAGGCATTTGGCAATGATGAGGTAGCAATTAGGCATTTGGCAATGATGAGGTACTCAAGTATAATGAAATTAATATTCCCTCCAAAATCAAAATCAATGGGGACTTCTTTAATGGTTTTGTAAATCGTTTAAACCCCTTAAACGGTATTAGACATTGAAAAGAAACCACAACAATAATTAGAAACAGAAGGAAAATCATGCCATTTTGAAAGAAGACGGCAGCAAAAGTTACCAAAAACACACATAATATAAAAGGGTAAAGTAACTTGCTTGGACAAAACAATCGTGGAAATGGAGGCGAAGCAAAGATGCAGCAGCACGCGTTTCCTTGCTCACAGCATCGCAGACCACATCTTGAACTGTAGAGAGTAGATCAGGGCATGAAGATGCATAGAAATTTGGAGAGAGATTTGCATAGGCCATGGCCCCCGTATACAGAAAGGCCACAACAAAGATGCAATAACTAATGCCCATACTGCCTCCTAGTACAAACTATTACTATAGAGAGAGAGATGAAGCGAATCACAAATTCTTACTTCTCTAGATAGAGAGAGAGAGAGAGAGCTATTCAAGTACACTAAGAATAGTGCTTTAATAAAAGTGTGATAGGAGATAAAGAGTTATATAGAGGGGAGAGTCTCAGTTGGATCCCCAGCGCTTCAAAGATGTGATAGGGCGGCTGATACATGATAAATGTAGTGAAAAGGACTTGACCAGGGTTTCATGGTGTTGCGTCACGTTAAAATTTTTTACGTCCTAATGCTTTTGGCTATGCATGGATTTCTTACTCCCTTTACAGTAAAAACTCAAATAAATCCTCCAATTGGCTATGCATGGAAATCCTCCAATTGATTATTTTAACCTCGAGATCTATGAAAATAAGAGAAAAGTATACCTTAAAAATAATACATCTTAGTAATGTTTGGAGGTGTGCAATATTTTAATTGTTTAAAAAATTGATGCTTTATAGAACTACACGGATTTGAAATGATACATATTTTATGACATTTTTTGCCCTAAAAGTCTAAAGTATTATATTTTATTTCCATTTATCCCTATTTCAAAAGGTCAACTCTCAAACCACGCATAACACAAACGAGTAAGTGTTTGCTTCAAATCCAACTATCAAGCTGCCAAAACCACCCCTAAAACAAAAAAGACGATGAAGCAAAGTTTGGACAATTCCAAATGTCCAACTTTCAACATCCAAAAACTCAATGCTTTTTAAGTCGGTTAGATTATTCAAAAGTTGGATTTTCAAACTGTCTAAATTATTACTTTTATTATTATTATTTTAATTTATTTTTAAAACAGTTCAAGGTCCAACTTCACTTTACATTTTTTGTGTGTTGAGTGGTTTTTAAGTTAGAATCTCAAACAGGAATAAAAGAAGAAACTCTAAAAAAAGTTTAGACCTTACCATAGAATATCTTAAAATATGGACCATTTTCTAATGGGTGAGTTTTGTATAAGGTTACCCAACTTATATTATAAAAGTAACCGGCACCTGGAAATTTTGCAAGAAGATTTACGTTCAATGTCAAACATTATAATGGTTTGAAAATTGATGTTCAACCCTAATTATGAAATTGAAATTTTAGAAATGATATAAATTGAGCAAATTTATAAACGCTTGAAAATCTTAAAAATAGATGATCATGATAACTAGTTACAAGCTAAGTATTGAAATTTATTTTTTTTGTTTTTTTACATCCATACATCTAGTAGTCAAGATGATCAATTGGAAGCTTTTTCAACCTTGTAAAAAATGCTACCAACTATTCACATCGACTCTCTATGTTGAGTACATTTCTACCACACATTAAAGATGCTTATCCTGATGATTTACCAAAAAAAACATAAAATACCCTTTATCTCACGACATCAAAGTTCGTTGTAAAAAATGCTACCAACTATTCACATCGATTCTCTATGTTGAGTACATTTCTACCACACATTAAAGATGCTTATCCTGATGATTTACCAAAAAAACATAAAAGAAGAAAAATACTAGGTTTACATTGCCTTTTTCATGTACTAATGCCGCATGTGCTTGTGAATACCGTGCGTGCGAGCCCATGTGCATATGTACTCACGCATTAGAGAGAGAATCGAACTTATTAATACTTAATTCGATAGGATTGTCTACAAAAAAATTATTTATCTTTTGCATATGGAGATCACAATCATTCTCACTCATTAAATGTCAAATTAGATGACTTGAGACGAGTCATAAAGTTTGAGAATATTTTTTTGAAACTTTGTGTCTATTTAATGATACTCTTACAATCACCCATTTTGAAATTTAAAAGATAAGAATGATTGTGATCTCCATGTATACAAGATAAATAGTTTCTTT